AAGGATTGGGTATTAAGTTCTAACTCTTCCTGGCGGAGGTAAACAGTGCGGTGGAATTCCCCTGATCCACGCTTTTCTTGGCTGATCCATAGATCTGACTTTATTCTTTTAACTCCAGAAGCGAGTATCGTTTAAAAAAAATTACCGTATGATAACTGTGTGCATGTATGTTTTGCTTTTCCCCTATTTCGAATTTGATTTTTAATTTTTGAAAAAGAAACGTAATAGTATATATATAACACACTGACCTCCAATTTTAGTTTTTTTTCAAAGAAAAGGCTTAAAAACTTATTGGTTCCTTTTTTTTGATGATTTCTCATTGGCTGAAAAAAAGATACCTTTTAGAGCCAAAAATAGCGCGATAAATGAATGAATCGCACTGCTGAGAGCCAACCAGATTACAAAAATGACCAGTGATTTCAAAAGGGATGTAATCAGGTACAGTGTTATCGAAAACAGCTTTATTTCCTTTCCTTGTTTCCTTATTGGGTGAATTTCCCAAACCAAATCTTAGCTGCCTCCCCAGAAATTGTGATTATTCATGATCATCCATGAGGGTAATTAGAATACAACCAGCATGGTCGTGTTTATGATTTGGCATCTGCAGAAGACGATCGTTCACGAGCTCGCCTCCCCTTCAGTTGCAGTGTAAGGTGTATCTTGTTCTTCATGCTTAGCGTGCGTATATCCAGATATGCCATGGATACATGCGGGAGGTTTGGGTACGTGAGTTGGCAATAAGTAAATCTCAGTACTTCTTTAATACATTAGATTACGCTATGCAGATTTGTATAATACTGCAGCCTCCTTCTACATGGCAACTGAGTAATGTTTAATTCATTAAAATGAAAATTGGATTTCATATCTCATGGTTTGAATAAGGGAAATATGATTAATACTCTTGCTTGGGCTCTCTATGCTTGCTGGCCCTTAATTATTTTGAATTTACTTTTTATCGACGGCAAGTCCCAGATGTGCCACCAGATCCAAACTGACTTACCAGCAAAAAGGATGGAGGAAACATGTCTCTTTAAAGAGAGACTAGTCAATATAATTTAATTGAAAACATGCTAACTCAGTGGTGAGACTGTGATAAACATATTTCCTTTGTGTTTAAGGGACAACAAATTTTTCTTCACCAATGTGTTTAAAGGATTTCAAGACTATTTTGCGAGAACTGAGAAAAAGACGAAGGAAATGATGATAAACAACGAGAGGTCCTTTCTGGTTGGCAATGTAGCCTACATCAAAGTAAGGGTATAGAGCTGTTTCAATGATTAAAAAAAAATATTTTTTTTATTAAAACATGCAATTTTCTCTTTCACAGGCAGTAACTACCGGGTAAAATTTACTGTCTGCATTATGTCGTATTGAGGCCTTAAGACCTTGACGTCCATTATTTTCCAAACAGAGTATTCTATAGCATTGCTACTTTATATTCAGAGTTCCACAAGGTCTAACTCGATCGTAAAGGAAATCCGACTTAAAAATCTTGAAGGTCGGCCGTTTCATTTTCAAATATTTGATCATTTAGAGTGAACGCATCGAATGATGCCCCTCTAGTACCCCCTAAAGCCATCAAAATATTTTTGCAAACGAAGGATTCTGATTGGTTTGTTGATCTCCTAACTATAGATGAAGTTTGGGGACAAAATTCTGCTTAGTAAGGGAGGTAGGAGCAGTTACGGGTGATTCAGGTGTCAATGTGTTAGCATATTATATTTATACTAATAATACATTTGTTTCGTTCATCACGGAGCTTGCACTTTTGGTTGCACTATATCTTGAGTTGTGAGTAATTCTAGTGTCGTTTCAGGGCGGTTAAATATGGTATTCTAAGTAATAACAGGTGCACTAAGCTATATGCAGCCATCGACTGACCATTTTTTGTGAAGTTTAAAGTACGTGTCAAGCTACATGAGGTAAGCGATCATCGCGCAACACAAATTTTACGAGAATGCGTGACCAGTGAAGTGGCGTAGCCACTTGGATATTTAGTCATGAGATCTGTCGTGTTAAGGCGGAAATTCTTATTTGGTGAGCAAAACTCCGGAGGCAAACAAAGGAATATTCGGAATCGAAGAAGCAAAAGTTGTAGAAGACAATGTGCTTTGTTAACTGTCGCGTTTTAAGGGAGGACTGAGGTGGCGAGGAAAGTTTATTTTGGCGAGTAAACCAGACTTTTCTAAGATACTCATGCCTGCTCTCACCTTTATAATTGATCTTTTGTAGTTTGTTCATCGTCACTTTGCTGTTAATCGACACGTGGTTAGCGCCGGCCGTAAGGTTAGTATAGAGTTAACAGATTTTACGACTTTATTTTCTGCACGAAGATCCACCCCCCAATTACCAAGACATTGTATAGTTCTGTATTTTCCTTTCGTTTTAACTTTTAGATTATCTGAAGTCGTTTAATCTTAATTTCATTTTGTAAGCTTTTTATTGGAACGCCCCAAATATGTGCGAAAAGTCGTCGCAAATTGTACCTAAAATGTATCTATCTTTGTTTTACAGAACTAAATATTTGATGGAAATTCACATGTTGAACTCTGTGCGATTTATTCATATCAAAATGGGGTGACCGCCTAATAGAGGTGAAAATGACACAAAGAGTTTCGGGACTTTGAAAACCGACCACTTAATACGGGGTGACCGCTTCATACGGTGCTGCTTAATACAGTTCGATTGTACGTTTTTGTCAGTTATCCACCAACAAGCAGAACTCTTATTGCGGTGGTTCCCTGTACAAGACTGCTTTTACTTAAATCTGACATCTGTAATTCATAACCTTTTTATTATCTGCTGAGCCAGAGGTAAGAGAGGGAGGCCTAAAATTAGTTATCACAGGCTATATTCATAAACTGTTTTATCGTTTGAATCCAACTGAAATTAAGATAGAACTGTAAAAAGCTGTGTCTTTTGCTTCACAGCAGTCACAAAGAAACGAACAGGATTGTTTGTATATTTGCTCCAAAAGTGTGCCAGTGTCAAAAACAACGTGTGTTACGTGCAAAAAATACTTGTTTCCCTACAGTAAAACAGTTAAGACCAGCCTTTTTATTTAATACTTTCTCTCCAGCAGAAACACAGTGGATCAATTTGCTTATCGAGAAAACTCGGAAGTCAGTCTAATTGTTAAAAAGGCTATGAAAAACTTCTTTGAAAACTACTGCACTTTGGTACACCTATGAAACCACTAACATCCATTCAGCATACCTTCAAGGTAGACCTATAGCGCAGTACAGCAGTAAGCATGCAATTTTATCTTGCACTAGACAAACGTTTGCAGCGCGGACCGGCTTTTTCATAATAGAACCTTCCCTTATCTCGAATCGTAGGTCATTTTTTGCTGCCATTAAATCTACAACATCACAAAAAAAGCCCGAACGAAGCAATGAGTTGTAAAAAAGTATTGAGAAGCAGCCACAAATATCAAGAAAAGATAAAAACCAAGCGACTCTTAAGCGAACATGGCGGCAGAAAGAAGTCCTCAATAAGAGTCATGAAATAAACTAAGGGAACATTTATTAATCACAATGTATTTTGACAAATGTCAACTAAACAAGTTTTAAGTTTTTTCGAGACGACAATAATGCATGCTTATGATGTCAAACAAAACAGCTATTCGTTCACTAGAGTTGTTCATTAATTATAAAGTTTTCAGTGGGCGATCTATCGTTTACTTTTATTCATAGTTCTTGATTTATTAATTGCACTGAAGAAAGTTTTGTCGAAAAACCTGAATGAGTTTTGTTGCCCGTCAATAAACAGAAATCAATCCTGTATACTGGTTATCATTTTTAAGTCAATAAAAAAGCCTCAGTACGGCCTATAGTTTAAACTTGAATCGTGTTTTGAACCCGTTACGACAGTCAAGCGTTGTTCAAATAAATTAGATGCGAACATAGGCGTCGTGAAATGTCATATCCACGATAAACATGTTCCTACCCTCCAAAATTATTAAGGTATTAGATAATCGATAACCTTTGAGGGCCGCCTCACCATTTTTTAGGAAATAGCCAACATATTCGAGTTCATTTTATAAGATTGTGCCGAACTTTAGCACCTGTAGGGGTCACCTTGAATTGAATGAGTCAGACTGCACATGTTTAATAATAACAACAATAAAGATGATGATAATAATAATAATAATAATAATAGTAATAATAATCTGTCTTTGATAAATCAGAAACAACAAACGTGTAACTTTACAATATGTTAACAAGGAAATCATAAGTATAGTTAAGAATATGTCAAAATTGTAGCATTATAGCATCATGTACAAAAAGAGGCCCAAAACATTTGATTAATAGAGCTTTCATATATATAATTTCACAAAAAAAACGAATAGCTCTATGTAAAGGCTAATCCATGTTATTAGGGCGAAACATGCAAACGTAACGCACCAGAAGTTTCCAATTAATATTTAAAAAAAGAACGATTTAAATGTCTTCTGTCCACACTAAAAAGGATAACCGTGCGCTACCTTACGCATGCGCATAATAAGGGCCAAAAATTTTAACCTCGATACTATTGCTGTCGTTGGTGTATGCAATGATAATGGTGCTTTATTGCGTAATTAAAATCAAAATCATTAAAGTATCTCGCAGAGAATCAAAGTCTAAGTAAGCTCATTTTCATAACAAAAATTGAGCAAGTTATTTGTTATTTTATCCAAGGGAAGTCGGCAAAATGGCCAAATAGGGAGTGTGCAATATCTTTATCATGCGTTCGGAAGTTTGCATTTTGCAACTTTGCAACTTTTCAACCAGCGAGAACAACAATGATATTAAAAAACCGACACAAACATAAAAGGAGACGGTAAAACAGGCAAACTGTTTATGGCACGAGAAAACACGTCTTCACGGTGCGAATGGTTTTTGTTTTGCATCTCATCAGTTGATAGGAAAACCAAATCAAGACATTCCCGAGTTACTTTCCACACTCATTGGTAGGATAAAAAAAGAAAAGATGCGGGCACACATCAGATTATCAACAAAGAGTTTTCAAAGGTTGTTTTTAATGCAACATCCTTCACAATGTTCATAAATCATATCATGGATGTTTTCACTTCAGCACGATGGCTTAATTATCTTCACTGAGCCCTTGATGTGAGCTTTGAACTCGCGCCACTGAAACACGTTGCCCACCCCTGTCAGACACGACTTTGACATGCGTGCGATTTCTTGGTCTTTTATGACGTGATCCCAAATGTTGACACCTGTCATTTCACCGATGAAAGATTGATGGGCTTCAAATTTTCCCCCCTTTGAGTCTTGCTCCTGCCCTAATACCAGGGATCCATTTGCACGAATCATGTGACCTGTGGGGACATTAACAGGAAATTAAGGAAAAAGATAAATTCACCAGTTAAAAAAGATTCAACTTTATCTTTTGCTTTGATTAAGATTAAGATCTCTGAAGGAAATGATAAAAAGCTGAAAAGTGAGTACATTCTTTCCTTTTTTTTAATTTTCCTAATCAATAATTTACCGAATAAGTGAGTCATGTTGCTCTATTTGTTCCAATCTCCGCATTACTCTTTGGGAACTACGCACTTTATCTCTAAGTGACTAACATAACGTACACTGTAGCATTTAAGTGATAAATTTCATAATCGTTTATCAAGTAATTTCACCATCACAGTCACGTGCATTTTTGTCAAGGTTTTTGCATGTTTTTCAAGTATTTCTTTTTTGGCATCAGTGATCATTACCTCGTCAGAGTTTGTCTGATATATTTTCCTTGTTTTGCGCATTTCTCGGTTTCTCGAGTATCCTTAGTCTTCTTTCGCCTTTTTCAGCTTCTTAGGGTGGTTTTTCTCAGCGTTACTTACAAATCACATATAGAGCATTCAGGAGGGAATTTTTCACTAATCGTTTCTTCTCCGCACAAGGCAGTTTAGTTCACAACGAAATTATTTGCGGTTAGTGTCCGCGACAATTTTACGCAGTTTCCTCTCAGGGAGATTCGTTTACGGTGTCCGTTAAAATGTAAATGCAAACCGGGTTTTTCGGAGTGAAATCAGAAACAGAGAACTGAAAAACTGAATTTACCATAGGTTTCAAGTAGCTGACAACATTCAACAGTCAACAGCAAACATTGGTTTAGGTAGCTTCTCTGAAGAAAACAACCTTTTAACTGACCGTGTTTAACGAAACAGCTTTAAGAGATGTTTAAGCTTTGTTTTTTATGGAGTACAAGTCTATCTTCGTCTATCTATAACTACTTTTAAGTCCACGTGAACTTTGTACTTCGTTTATTCAAATCAATCTTGTGGAATCCTGGCGGTTTTGTCATTTCGGCCGCCTCGTATTAGCAGTTACACACACTAAACATTAAATACTATTGTACGGACCATTACTAAAAGAAGAATTTACCTGTTTGGAGACTTTTGCCATGAGCGGCAACCGAACCATCTCGAAATAATTTCCATGATCCATTGGTATTCTCCCATGTTAGGCAGATATGATGCCACTTTCCATCATTGGCGGATACAGAAGTATGACCACTAAAATTAGCAGCAAAACGCGAGAAGTGTACTTTGAGTATTTTAAAGCTTACAGCAACATTAAATCAAAATAATTGTTGTGATTAATAACAGGCCAAAACTTCAGATGAAATACCCAAACCCTCCATGGTCGTTGATGTAGATCCTAAATAGTCTATAGTCAGTCAGGAGAAGCTCGTTAGTTGCTCCAGATACAGCATAGCTCAGGAGTGTTCCTTCATTTCTAGTATCAGCGGTTTTCATCCACAGACAAACCGTTACAGCTGACAGGTTTGGCATGCCACGTGTGACGATGACGTAATCACTGGTTCCTCTCTGCGGAAATTGTAGAGCGTATCCTGCAACTGAAGAATTACTCATTTTTTTTTCTCATTTGTCAACGCCGCTTTCTTCTCTGATTGTACCATGATTATTTTTACATCATAATAGTTGATAGGCTAGCTAGGGTGATGCGAGTTTCCATAGGAAGGTAAAGCAAAATCACGCAATCCTACATTGCTTACAACACACAAGTGAAAATTATTTTAAAGATGCATACCTTTCATAGCCAATGCCTTTATCGTTTCAGACGTGTTCTTAAATTGCAAAGAGAGCTCTTCGATTGACTTAATCACGACATCCAGTTTCCTTACGACACTTTTGTTAAACGAGTGAGGACTTGTGTACCACGCCTTGATTGTCTTGTTAATGAGAGCCAGTCTTCCTGAAGAAATTGAGACATAAACAAAGATCTTTCAATAATAAATGTGAAGGACAAAAAACATATTGATTCATGGTGTGAATTCGAAATGTCAAAAAAGACAAATTTCGATTCTTACGGAATCAAAATGAATTTCACAATGAGATTATCGCTGTTTCCAAGTATCATTTCCAAGTTACACTGCCCTGCGTGATTGTAATTTTCACATAATTTACAAAGTGGTATTGAAGGTTATCTGTGTAAGGAAAAGATATCTGGAATTTTCCAAGAACTGAGATTTTGACACGCAAGTATATTTAAATGAAATTAAATCGAACTATCAAATAAATCTTTTACACTTTGGAAAGTCTACTTTCAGGAAACAATGTCGGTGTTGATAGAAGGTTTGTGTGGAATACATTCGAAGAAATGAAGCCAAAGATCACCAAGTCATTCGCAAGCAAAGGTTAGATGCGATCGGATTGCGTTACATCACATCCTTGAACATACTTTAGATGCGTACTTTCCACTTGCATATTTATAAAATTTTTGCGCTTCAAATTGGCGTTTTACATCGTTTTTATATGACCTCTTTTCTGTGGAACCTGTCTTACGTGGCCCCCCCCCCCCCCCCCCCCCCCCCCGCCATTCTTCGTAGGTGACACAAAAAGAGGATTGGTAACTCAACGTGAACAGCCACAAGTAGGAGAAATGTTCATCATTGAGTCAGACTTGTTTTTCGTTTTGCATCTCCTTATTTGAGAGAGAGGACCAAGTTTCCTTAATAGACCAATCACAAACCGCAGTAAAGCAAAAGCATTACAACCCAAGTTGAAAATCAATGTAAATATGCATACCTTTCATTTCCAAAGCAGTCGTCCTTTCAGACATGTTCATAACTTTCACGTTACTAAATCCAGTTTTCTTTCCATATTGGTGCCCAGGGAGTCGAGGCGTTTGGACAAAGCTTCAATGGCTTTGAACATTGAGTCCTGGTTATCTGTAGATAATCGCGAAAAAAAGAAGCTAAAATGACGGATTACACACGTAGGTGGTACAAAGAAAAATTGTGAAATTCGACCATCAAACCTTTTAGAAAAGGCTTCCGTTTCACTGCCTTCAGTTTCTTCAAAGAC